AAAAAAAAGAAGAAGAATTAGAAGAAAATTCTGATTTACTGTTTTAATCTGCAGACGTTGTTCCCTTTCCTGTTAAATTTGGTTGAGGTACGCCTCCCGGAACATTGTAACTATCGTGTCATTGGAGATGGTGGGTCTCCGTTTTTACGTCTTTCCCCGTCAGGACTTGACGGGAAGCCATGAAAACTATTGAAAACACTTCGAACAGCCCATGTTCAAGAACACACATACCTGGATTCGAACCAGAGGGCATCGCTCAGAGAGAAATAACGATAATTAGCTTAGCAAATGAAGCACCTTTTTTATTGCTGTTCATCACAGATGAATGTGCAATATATAATACAATATGCACGCCCATGTGACTATGTGAATGTATAGGCGAGTTCCCTTACGTGAAAACATCCGACTCTGGTCAGTCCAGTTTCCTGATGGTGGACCAATATTATCTAATCTAAAACTATAAGTAACAAACAAACTGATTAACTGTCGCTCTAAATACTTGTTTTCATTATATTGCTGCATCCCCGAATAAGGATTTTCTAAGCCGGCACGACCCATTTTTCTGCAGAGCATGCGACAATGAAATTGAACTTCTTTCCCCCATGTACATTTTTTCTTCATAATATGTAGTTATACTAATATATCAGCTTTATCATAGATCTTTTTAGGTGTAGGAAGGCCTAGGTTTTACTTTACTCCAAAATACAACTACATGTAAACGTACATTTTAAAAGCGTTCTTAAAAAATGCGATAAATACAGCGAAAATAGGGGAGCTCTTTTATTTAAAAAATAAACATTGGTAATATTATTAGCCAATGGTGAATTGAGGACCTTTTACTGCGGTCCTTCTTGGCATAGATACAAAAGACGCCGAAACTTGGTAGGGTTTTAGTGTGGTTTGTACTGTGGCATTCTTTGGATCCCTCGATAATGTGTGTTGCTTTGGTCATACATATCGAATCAATGTGAAGGTAAGAATCGCTGTCAAACGAGTAGAAGGACAACTGGTACCCCAAGTACGTTTCTTTTGAAGGTGTTTGTATCAGAAAATCTCGATCTCAAGGCAGAATGTAACTTAGTAATTTAGATCTAATCAACATGTAGATCTAGATCTAGATCTAGTTCTAGATCTAGATCTAGATCTAGATTCTCTAGATCTAGATTAGATCTAGATATATATCTAGATCTAGATATTAGTATCTAGATCTAGATCTAGAATCTAATATGTACGAATGCAGGCTTACTTAAGTTATTAGCAGCCTCGTCTAAGACTGTCTTTTTAGTCTTAGACCAACGCCTCTTCTCAATTATTTTATAAATATCTAGACTACGATTTCAGATTAATTTCAGTCCAGAGCATCGTGAAGATGAAAGTCCCTGCTCAGTAATTTAGTTGGCATCACTTTTCCTTTTTGATACTGAAATCTAACTCTTTTCCTAACCTTAAGGCAAAGGGAACAGGTATAAATTATAGATCTAGAAAATCTAGATCGTGTACATATGTGTAGTTCATTGACAGGATTGACTCTACAAACGGCAAATTATTTAATTATAGTCATGTTTTTCATTTAGTCAAGGGTTCTTAGCTTTCCAGTGTATGTTAAGTAAGTTTATTCAGTGTTTAAGGCCATTGGCCTTCATCATATCACATAAAACACTCATTTGATTTATAAGTAAAGTTTCCATAATGAATAAGTACAGGTTGTGCACATATCTCTTATCATGGGTCAAACATTGCATATTTCTGTCACTGGGCCGAGTCAGGCTGGGAGGGATTAAACAATTTCCTTTGATGAACAAAGTGTGAATAATAGAAAATAAAGCGTTTAATGAAATTCATTTTCAATTTCATGAGAGTTACACCTCATTCATAAGGGCGAATTAGTTAATTTCCTCTGACAGAGATTGTTATTTAATGGAAGGTTGTGGGTTTTTAACAAAGCTATGACTCTTCTGCTCCAATACCGTGGGAGGTTGGTGATATATTCAGCCGTTTCTTGAAACGGAATTGTAAGAGAAAAAACATTATACTTGCGACAGACTTCTTCCTCTATGTTCTGCACAGAATGATCAACAAGTCTACTTTTTATTTCACTGAGAAAATGTCTAGTACTTCCAACATTTTGAGAAAACCGGACATGTCCAAATCCCAGGGGAAATAATAGGTTTTTAACTTCCGTAGCCCAGTTAACTCTGCCCTGTTCACAGGAACGATATAATTGCATGTGTAACATTTCTTTGGATATCTGTCACTTTCTAAGTGTATAAGTCTGCCCCAGAAATTAATGACACAATGCATGTAATCAGAACACAGTTGGTTCTCCCCACTTCTCTTGGAACTAAACATTTGGGTGTAGTTTTGCCAAGATACAAAAAGGCTTTCCAGAACTTTACCTGAACATTATCAATCACGTCCCAATTTTTGGTACCCCGAATTTCAGAGCCATAAAGCAGCATTGGTTTGATCTTTATATCGAAAATGTTGCTTGCTGTTCGAAATTCAATTCTTGGTAAGAACCGAAAAGCCTTCTTGTTCGAGAAACAATCCGTTGAGCTTTACACAAGCTCAATCTTCCAGCGTTCATCTCCAGCATAGACGTGATGAAAATGAAATGCCCAAGTAACTATAATAGGTTACTGTCTCTAAGATCTTATCCTCCCAATATCATCTCTCAGATCTTTTGAGATAGCCTCCTTTTCTAAAAACAACAATCTTACTTTTCTCTGTATTCACTTTTTATCCCCACATCTGGCAGAAATCATGTAACACATTGATTTTCTTTTGTAAACCTCTGACATTGTCGTCAAAAAGACTTAGGTCATCAGCGTACATTTAACATAAAATACCATCATTATCATTGGGCAATACCTGTGTATAGCCTGGATATTTTAATCTGAAAGGGGTTTTTCAAATTGAGATACATTGTACAAAGAAAATAATATAGGGCTAAGTATGCCGCCTTGTTTGACACCTGATGTGCATTGGAAGTATTCAGATGAAAGAACACTTTGATTCATATTTTTCAAAATGGTATACATTGGTCCAGAACAGCCAAGACTTCTCAGTACTGTCCAAAGCTTTTCTCTGTCAACCCAGTCAAATGCTTTAAAAAAGTCGACAAAACATACATAAAACCTTCCGCTAGGCTTGGAGATACTTTTGGACTAAAGATTGGAGTGAAAACATATGATCTATTGTAGAGTAATTTAGTCAAAAACCAGCCTGAGATTCAGGGATGAGGCTACCTTCATCACACCATTGTTGCAGTCTTCTATTCAATATGAATGAAAATAATTTACCAAGAAGGTTTAGTAAACTATAATGCCCCTATAATTATTTACATCATTTACTTTTCCTTTTTCGTGCAAACTAAATATCATAGACTTGGTCGACTCCTCTGGATAGTTGCCTGTGAAGAAAACTGAATTGAAAAGTGATAGGAAAAATTCAGCCTGGTCCTGGCAACCGAATTTGTAAAATTCCGGCGATAGCCCGTCAGGTCTGGCAACCTTGCCAGATTTTAAGTTATTTATAGCCAGTAAAATTTCGTCGCTTTCCAGTGTCTCATCTTATGAAACCCTGAAGTCAAAGTGATGTGTGCAGAATAGGTTTATGAAACATGGATTGTCTTTTTCCTATGCTATATCATTGTATACTGTCATGACAGCAGAATGACGGTTATCCTGTTGATGTACTTTTCTTCACTCAAACTAATAAATCCCCTACTATCTCCTGGAGTGTCCAGTCCTCCTTGTCTGTACATCCACATGAGAGTCAGCACCAGGTGTTCTTTGACTTTCCTCTTTTCCTACATCACATGGTTTCCTTTGTTGTCACAGGCAGAAGATGTGAATTTGATTCTTGTGTAGGGAGAATATTTATCAAGTGTCCCCCATCTTTCTTCAGGAAAGTTGTATCCTTCCCAGTCCATGACTGCTAAATGATCTGAATAGTCATGTATATAATTATGAGGGCATTAAAATTCTATCTGAAGGGTGTAGATGAGGCTGTTAAATTACTATTACTACAGACATTTATGATTTCCTGGTTATGGCTTACATTGTGATATAATGGTTGCAAGCTTGCATTAACTATGGTCAATCCATTTTCATCATGTCCAAAGGATTTTACCTTGGACAGCCTATTTTCCCTCAGTGAGCGAATAATTTGCTTTGTAACGGAGCCTTGCATAGCTTTATCTTGCTGAAATTGTACTTTTGCCACCATCGTATAAAATATTACACCCTTCTGTGTTGTGATGGTTTGAGTCTTAGCTGTTGTACGCAAAAGACATGACTTCGATTCTCAGGTGGGGTTGGTATTATATTGAGGGTCTCTGTCTGTCTTCTTGGATGGTGCATCTCACTCAGTCAGGGTACGCCCCACCCTGAAAGGCAGGGTCGAGTCAGCCTGCCTCGAAAATTGTGTTAAGTGTGCCCATGGGAGAGTCCCACGTTGCCATATATCACTACAGCGTTTGCTGAATATATACAGGCTATGCAACGTCCTAATATGCTTTATGTAAACGTTTGTAAGTTGCTCCAAGACAGACCCTTGTAACCAGTGTCTATGGTGTAGCTGTTTGGCGCTTCACTGTGGCCTGGAGAAGACCTGAGTTCAGTTCCAGTGTTGATGGAATCTTTATCGAGTATATTCTCAGTCTTTCTGCTGAGACATTGTATTCATCTCATCCAGGGTTGGTCTTAATTGTGTCGATGGAGGCATGAAAACGTATATGTAAAAAAAAAAGGACTTGTGTTGGAGTGCTTCGTGTGTATCGTGATGGACTGAGGTGCGGGTACTGTGACTCTGGTTAAAGTCCCCAGCTACTTGGGTGCTCTTGAAATTGATTGATTGAAAAATAGAGGGTGGGGGGAGGGGGTCCATGCTCCCCACCTGCTTTGTGCTGTCCTCTTGGGGATGGAAATTTATTTAAGATGTCCTGGCCCTTAAATAACAATACCATGTTGGAAAAGGTATTAACTTGAACCATACTGAACACAGCATACGATGCACCACTGTCGCCCACACCGTAACTACTCACTTGACCATTGTTGCTCTCATTAATTATCATACACAGAGAACAATGGACTGACACAGTCTCCAGTCATCATGTCTCACCCCAAGCCACGAAAACCAAGGCCTCTGGGATCATTACGTCAGATCTCCAAAAACAGCCCCGAGAAACTCCCAACCATCCCTCGTCTTCCAGTAATCTCCACCGATACAGAGAAACTGAAAGAAGGCATTCATGGGAATGCCATGACAGTACCTCCTCCTTCTCAACCTGAAACTGCCCGGAGCAGGCCTCCAACAGACGACCGGCCGAAGTCGGACAAAAAACCACCAAAATCTTCTGGTTCCTCCGGAAGTGCAGTCTCGCACGAGAGCTGTGAGAAGGAAATCAAAGATGGTCTTGTAAGTAATTTTTTTCCACATGATAATCTTAATGTACTCATCAGCATTTTACAGGTAGGTGGTGGAAGCTATTGTAGTGTAGCTTCTTCTTTCCTGTCCAGTGGTGAAAAATCACTGGCGTCTGTGGTGTAGCTTTTTGGGGCTTCACAATGTTGTGCAGAAAGCAAGAGTTCAGTTTCTGTGTAGGGAGAGGTTTTTGTTTTTATTGCCTATCTCTGTCCGTCTACTTGGAAGATGTATCCTCTCCTCTCACCTCGGATTGGTCCTGACAAGTTGGGTCAAAGCAGCCCGCCTCCTATATGATGTAAATTGGGTGAACAGGGTGTAAAACATCAACAGTTGCTGCACTATCACAATGTAGCCTACATAGAAGGAAATCTGAGATGCTATCGTCAGTAAATCTTTCTCTATGTTTGTGTTTCTATTTTTGTATAATATTCGTTCGCATTTTATGAGGGTGGCAGGGAGCGAGGGAGGGATTACCCAATACCTACTTCTTTAATGTCCGTCAAAGGAAATTAAAAAGGGTTGTGTTAGTAAATCTTTCAATCTTACTTAATGACGATATCAGTGTATTCATGAGCATTTGGTGGAGGGTACAATTATAAAGTACTATTTTACCATGTCCACGGAAGGATATCAAAGATGGTCTTGTCGGTTAATCTTTCTCTATGACAGTTTGAGTGTACGGAAGTGAGCATTTTGCAAGTTGGCAGATGGTACCATTGTTTAGTAGGCCCGCTCCATCTTCTGCTCATTTCTCCATCTGCAAATATAACCTCCTGCAGTGTTCTGTGGCGCTAATAAAATTAAATGATGGCTTTTGTTGGGATTTTTTCTTCTTCAATTTTGGGGTTATTATCATTCTTTCATTGGTATTTATTACATAAATTGTCTTGATGGGGACTTGAAAACATGTATATTTTAATTTGATAGATATTTTTTGGTACTTTAGTATCTTTATTTCCTATGCATGTAGAGATACATTTGTACTGTTGGTAGAGTAGGCTGAGAAAGTCACCAGGGCTTACGGATATGACAGCTGAAAATGTGAAAGTAAATTTGACAGTGGTGAAAAAATTTCCTGCTCTGAAAATGTCTTTCACCTCCTTTCCTGTTCCGTATTCATGTTATGTCATCTGCTTTCATCTCCACTTTCTGCCTCCATCCTCTTGGCTCCTCTATTCATGTCTCTTTCTACTGTTACTGCTCTTGGCTTCTTGCTGCTGTCTTTCAGCCTCACCCCTGATCTTAGGGTAGGTAAGATCTAACACCTACCGTTCTCGGATAAGGGCGGAAAATCTCGGAGGTTCCGTGCGCAAGTTGCCCACGTTCAAAATCCCGTTGTGGTCCTTAAATCGATGAGAGTAGGTTTCGGCTGCCACCAGAGCAAAATCTGAAATTGATTCTTACGAAAATAAAATATACTCTAGTCAGAATAATAACTCACTATAGAGTGCCTTCGTTATCGGAATGTGGCTGTTTGAAGGCAACAGTCCTACTAAGTAGGAAAAACGGTCACACATACGTGTAAAGTAGAAATCAGTCATCCTGCAGGTTGAAGAACCAGCAGTTAACTACCCGCGATATCTTGCGGGGAAATACATAGAAGATAAAGAAGACAGATTCTTTTTCTGTTCTTTATACATGTTGTGTGTTGTTTCTCTCTTGCTTTTACACTGCGCCCTGTTACTATTTATTGTTTCTATATTTTTGCATGTCTTTCCTCAAACGAAAGAGACGATGTGACGTAGGATTAGATATTTCTAAACGACGTTCCGCGTGCATGGAGTTTTATGTAACTTATGGAGGAGTATTGTAGTCACTTGGGCTAGCTTTGAGGGAAAGTCGCGGGAGGCCCTAAAATATTTATGATCAAAATCTCGCGTGCCACTCAACACTTTAATTATTTACTTATGTGTCCCATGGTTTGATCGTCGCCTTTGAACTGTTTGCTCGCTTAAAAAGGACCTGGTGGTGATAAGATTGACATACACTACCACTGCCACCCGTTTCTTTATTTGTCTCTGTCTGTCTATCCCCCCCCCCCCCCTTCCTCTCTCTCTCTCTCTCTCTCTCTCTCTCTCTCTCTCTCTCTCTCTCTCTCTCTCTCTCTCTCTCTCTCTCTCTCTCTCTCTCTCTCTCTCTCTCTCTCTCTCTCTCTCCCTCTCTCTCTCTCTCTCTGCTCCTTTTCTTTCTTTCTTTCCATTTTTTCTTAATCCCTCTCTCTGCCTCACCCACGCCCTCTTCTTCCTCATAGTCTTAAACTGATCTCTGGATCGACCCACCCCACACAGCAAACATTTGTGCTTAAGATTAGCATAATCTCAATGGTCTTGTCCCTTTCCCTGAGTGTATGTACTGGTACTTGACTTGCTTAAATGGCTTCGAGGAGACAGACTGCACCAGAGATTGACGTAGAGCGGCCTCTTTTTAATCTGAGCTGTTTAAGAAATAATTTAAAAACCAATAAATGTCTTTTCTCCTTTATATATTTTTATGCTTTATATGTGTCATGTTTTAATATACTTGTCTCATCCGCACCCCCCCCCCACACACACACACACACAAAAGACAGCAACAACAGCAACAACAACAACAACAAAAGAGAAATAGCACAACAAACAAACAACAAAACTACAAAGACATTTATCGAACAGAAATAGCAACAACAACCATGAATCATTCTATAAGATCTTAAAACTACTTTAAGCCAAAGAAAACTCAAACTTTTCTTCATGTCACTCTTTTTCTAATAAGGCTTCGTTTTCCTTTTGGAAATTTTGAAGCCTAACTAAACCAGTATTCGTTGTGTAATACTCTTGTCTGCTGCACACAGAAGGCACGAGTTCGATTCCTGTGTGGAATTCATTTATTTTTTGTTGGGGTTTTGGTTTTGTTTTTTTGTGGGAGTTTTTGGTTTTTAAGGTCTTGTTTCTTTGATAAGAGTTTTCTTTTGTGCTGGGGTTTTTGGGGGGAGGATCTCCGTCTGTTTGCTCTAATGCTGTGTCCCTCTCAGTCTGGGTTTGTTCCAATAGACAGTGTACAGGGTTGAAGTAGCCGCTACCTCCTGAATTACATATTATCTAGATTGTATCCATGGGGGCACGAAGCATTCATAATCATTCGTAAAGCCCCCTTTGACACATGTCGGTTATTACGAAAGTACGGAGGTAGACCTCATGTCTCTAAGGGTTTTGTTTCTCGACACCGGACGGTCGGTCTACAGGCTAAGCTGGTACTGAGCAAGAACACTGGTGGGTGGTCGGAGGGCGCCACTATTTGCAGGTCCTGCTTCTTTGTTTCGTCTTTCCCTTGTTTCTGTTTGTCTTTCCTTCTTTTTCTTTCTACTAAATTGCCGTCTTAGTAACGAACTGCTTCCCTAGAAAAAATTAAAAAATAAATTAAAAGAATTGGGCAGAAGACAGATAAAAAATATATATTCAGAAGAAATAAGCTTGCAAAATTAACAGGTTGTGCAGAAAGCCAACAAAAGATGAAAAGTGTGGGGGGGGGGGGGGGGGGGATTAACAATCCATTATTGAAGTTCTAATAAACTTTGGAAAACAACTTTTGGAAACTTTTTTATGTACAAATATAACTAAGAAGAAAAAATTTAATATTCTGCTAATAAACCTAAGTGTTTGTGGTGAATTAATGGCTTCCCACCAAAGGAGGAGTTTTATCTCTTGTTCGTGGACATGTAGACTATCTATCACCCCCCCCCCCCCCCACTTCCCCTGCTCGGGTTTATCGGGGGGGGGGGGGGGGTATCGTGGCTTTTATTTGCCAAAACCATTAATATACACATAGCATGGCTTGTCTCTCCCTCTCTCATACACGCCATGTTTCAAGGGCACAAACTTTTGCAAGGTACAGATTAATATTGCTGGCGGTTGCGTTCGTGGGAAGGTCCCTTTTTCATAAGGTTTCGTCGTTCTTTGCTCATGGGTAGTTGGAGGGTGTAATTAAGGGCGTAAATCCTCATTTAGATTTCTATTCCGTTTTAATTCTTTTATGGGCTTATAACAATATTGCACGATATATGACATAAGAAGCTCTGCGGTTTAGGACCCCCCCCCCCCCCCCACTTCGGTTCCCGACTTCCTTTTGTTGTTCTGGTTTAAAAGATTTACAATGACAGTATGTTTACGACGCACATCGACAAAAGTTATATCTTCTACGAAGCAGGCTGCTTTGACATTGTTGGGACCGAACGAGTCTGAGTAGGATACGGCCCAGCGGACAGTCCGAGATAGGCCCACATGTAATAGATGAAAATTTATTTCAACACACGAGAATCAAATTCATGTTTTACATGCAAACCGAAGAGCCAATAGAATTGCATCTCAGACACAAGCTATGTTCTGACAGTTGCGCCAAAGTCGAAGGAAACAAAACACCCAAACTTGGGAGTGAGGGTGCTGTTACTTTGTCTCTATAAGCTATCACATCTGTTCCAGCCGTTTTTCAACTGTCGTGTTCAGTTTGAAATTGTTCAGGGGTTTTCCCATGATGTTCTTTTTTTAATAGCTTTCATCTGGGACATTTTATCAAGAACTTTTGTTTTCTAACTTCTGGCTGTGTTATAACAGTTTTATGATCTTTATACATACTTTTAAAAATGAGCAAAAAACAGAAAGGCAGATTGCGTAGATTATCAACGCTTTTATTTAGTTCTAAAATAATAAATATAATCTCAAAACTATAAACCCTTGTATGTACTACACTCCAGCGTATCCCACCTCCGTTCCGTTACTTTTATAATATAGTACGTTCCCTTTACAGCGGTCTTCAAGTCTTTCAAAGACGTGCTCTTTTTCAATTTATTATTGAAGCTGAAAGGCCTTTGAAATATTCATGTTCTTAAGCGGAAGAAATATGAAAGAACTACTCTTGGTCCTGCGCGTTCGCCTTTTGTTTGCCGACCTCAGCCATTAAACAAACGCCATGAATGAGAACTTCGAGAACTCCAGGCCTTGTTAAGATCAGACTTTATG